GGTGCCTGGCCTAGGAAAAAGCAGGCGATTGAGAATTTGCAGGATAAATTGCGGAATCGGTGGCCGAATTAATGCTGAACAAATGGGAAAGCTAGCAAAGATATAATTCCTCAACAATAAACCGACAGCTGCTGCCATGGCGTAGATCAATCTTGTATCAATATCCTCCATGAATCACTTTTGCTGTTTGACCTACTGAAATTATCGGTTTTGTACTTCATAGTACACAAAAATGCCAATAGACTTCCATGCCTGCTGCGGCCCAAAGTATCAAACAGGGAGCATTATTTGGATAATCAAAACATGCAGTTTGACCCATCCCACTATTGGTTGGCGTGGGATAAGATGAATAGTATCCAACTTCAGATAAGTCGCCAAAAATATTGCTTCGTCATCAGTGCTATATGTGATGATTTGATGATAGTTGTTGTGTAAATGTACCAGTAATGGTCGTCTAAAACGTAAACAACTCGAGCGATTTAATATGTGTAGGATTACATCATACAATCATTCACTTATGACTAGGAAACATCAGGAATTCTTGTTTGTTGCTTCTTAATGCACAACGGTGTGTAGATAGTTCTCTCGTTTGCACTCAATGGAGCGCAACTGTTAGCCTTGTCCATTGGTCTTCTTGAACTGTTAATCTAGATCGTAGAGGAGCACGCACTCGCGGTGGTCGTATAACCATATTCGACTGGGTGAAGGTTGTTTGCCCTCAATCCACTCCACATTCGAACTTGATTCAGAACACTTGAACGGTATGTTGTATTGTATGTATTGTACATTCAACTAAATGTCGCGCAGAATGCCGTATAACTAATTTTCTACACAGGAGTAAGTAAACTGTTACGTACAGAATGAGACCATGGCTAGAATGTTCTTAAGTTTTCTTTCGAAAGAACAATAACCAGATTCACATAGCATCGTCTGGAAACCATTTTAATTCAATGATCTGCACATAATTTCCCACTACCGTAATCCCAAAACGCAATCACTTGGTGCATGATTATTATACTAAAAATCGATTGACTAATCGGCCCACTGTACGTGATTTGCGTGACAAATTTTCATAGAAGTGACTCATTGTGGTTTGATTTCCCATGACTGATTAAATTACTAGCAAAATGAACACCGTGTCTACATTGGACAGAGCACTGATCGCATTGACAACGGTTTGTTGCAACTGGAAACAATGCCTTCAGCATACCATTCACGCAAATACACATACGTAAAGGATTTGTATTATTAATTCGAATAATCTGTTTGTTTTAACGTCGTCAATCAGAAAAGGACTGTTAGAAATAAGGACAGTTCAGTTCAAGGGATTCGCGGTCATTGTTCCAACCATCTAGCAAACATATGTCTGACTGTATTAGTGCGGGAAATTTCTGTGTTTAGTTTTATCTTTATTATTAATTTTCCCGTGGTTATTTCTAACTGCTTCGTAGTTAGTTTTAGTCTTGTACGATCTGTGTATCCTCTTGAACCCTGACTTATCAAATCAGTATTCATAACCGAAACATAAACCACCAAATTCATAGAAATTACCGTCGAGCGCACTCTTATTCCATTTCTCATTTCTACATCCGTTTACTCAATAAACAATGATACGGTTTTCAAGAAAAGTGGAAGAAGCCAATCAAAGGGTTGTACGACAACATAGAATAGTAAATCTACACGGTGGTGGTGGGACTCGAATGCATGTCCTTCGACGTGATAAATTTGCTGACCTTTATCATTCAACCAGCACCTCCCATGAGCAGTACACTTACTTGTTGGTAGACTATGTCACTTATACCTGAGAAGAAACTTACCGTGAAGTGTACACAAATGTGTTGTTTTTTAGAGTAGCAAGCTTGGATTAGCCCATTGATTTGTTGAGAGGCACCAGGCAATCTTGTTTTGTTTTTGGTTATCAGCTCATTTTCCTTATCGTACTTTACCGTCTCCCCGTGGTTTTCTTCAAAATGTCACAAAAGTATTTCATACCCCTTAATTGCGATTTGGTAATAATTAGCATAGTTTGCCTTACCACGTGAACATTCTAATCTTAAAACTGTGGTAAGTTTGTATATCCCCCGGTGAGATTTTCCCTATAAGAATTTTATTCATCGTAAACATCCACTCAATCCCGATTTATCTGTCTCCTGTTCCCATGCCTCAACCGGGTTCAATTCTCGCTGCTCGGCATCCTAATTAAACAATCATCCTAATTCAACAGGAACCTGTTAGGCGCGCGTTCCAGCTAACGAGGAGGAGGTCCTATGGGAAGAACCCATTTTAAGTTTTGTTTTAATCCTTGCTGTTGATGAAACTTTGTTCATTTATATCCAACTGTAATTGTGAACACAGTTTTCGATCGAAATTTAGGCAAAGCTGCTTGCACAAGTTATTGCAATACAATACCAAACAGTAATAAATATTTGATATTTAACATGGTTGGTGCAGTATTACATTTTATAAAGAAAGAAGACTAATCGTATGCACTTCTTTGTGATTTCGGGTAGATGCATCCATCTCCTTCCTATGTTCTCAATATTGACCACCCTTACATCTTTCGCCCTTGACCTTGGTTTGCTCCTTCGGGCTCATACAAATCTGATTGTTGACTTTCATTGGTTGTCCTTTGCCTGCATCAATATGAAGCCAGTACAGCCCCAATATAGATGATCGCCCAATGCGCGGTTGCTTACTTGCACATACATTTACGAGCACAACCTGCGCTCAGCCTTTGAGCGTTTGAGAAACAAAACCTTATGCTGGACTTGTTTCTTAGGCTCCACTTATACACAATATTGACCGCTGCAAGTAAAAGGAATATCTGGTAGTTTCTAGTGACCTGTCAGTCACGCAGTTGCTCCTTATGCGGTGATTAATTAGGAGAATATTCCCTTTTAGAGCAGTAGCTTCGGAATAATCCATCCGACTGCTCCTTGAGATTTTAAGTTCTGACTAGTTGAATGCGTTTATAATTGATGGATTTAGGATGACGAGTCCCAAACGGGAGTAAACAGCTGTCTGGTGCTCGTCGTTAGTTATCGCACAACTTTCAATCGCTTATAAACTCATTCAACTAGTAGGGACTCAACGATTTCCCACAGAGTGAAACTCACATCAAGGACTATCAACAGCACCAGATGATTGTGAGCATTCGAAAGGATTATTCCAAATTTACTACTCCCAATTGCTTAAACCATTTGCATAAGGTGGCAGCCAGCGAAGGTCTGCCTGAGGTGTAAGGTTTTTAAGTCCCGACCCGAGTGTTCGCGGTTCAAGTTCTGACAGAGACACAAAAAGTACGCGCACTGATAAAGAGTTTCAAACAGGACGAAACAGCTGTCCCAGTGCTCTTGTTCGGTCATCACAAATCTTTAAGTCGCTTATTCTGTTTCTTCTCGGGACACAAAAATAGGGTGTTGTTATTGTTGTTGTTTTTGCTGTTGTTGGTGGTGGTGGCGGTGATGGTGGTGCTGGTGGTGGTGCTGGTGAATGTGCTGGATAACTGACCTTGCTAAGCGGTAAAACTGGCATTGTTGACCAACTGTGAAATCACGATTCCGAGAATGTAACGGAGCAGTTCGAATTTTCCAGTATATCTTACCACAAACCACTGGTAACAGTACGATCCGAAGCTACTTACTGAGGTGAGGTGGACTTATAGAGAAATTATTTCAGTAGCCTCGGTGGGCTTCGAACCCGCATATGGACGCCATCTGCGCTTTGTATAGCGCACGCTGTACTAGCTGAGCTACGAGGCCACACCAATAGCACTGATCTTTTCACATTCGAATTACCCATCCGAGGCTACGAAAATCTCACGATCTCCATGCAAACTTTAAATCTGCCGAACAACAATTTGAACAACTAACCTTATCGTAGCTCATTCGGTGGATTCCGGTAAATGCTAAGGAAAACCTGTTGGGTAAGTCAGCTTACATGCTGACTGGTGGATGCCATATACCTTTGTAAGTTGGATGGGTTATTCGAATGTCAAAAGATTAGAGCTATCAGTGTGGCCTCGTATCTTAGCTGGTACAGCGTGCGCTGTACCAAAGCGTAGGTGGCGTCCACGCGTGGGTTCGAATTCCACCGAGGCTACTGAACTTTTCACAATCAACATACAAATTTCAAATCTGCCAAACAACAATTTGAGAAATTATTTCGGTAGTACCCTAATATCGTAGAATTATTCTTTTGTTTTAAAATTAGACAACCATATCCTTTGTACATTCATTTACTGGCTCGAGTTACCCGCCGCATATTATTCGCACTATAGTTTATGGGTTTCGGTGACAATTTACTTATACTCTCAAGAATATTCCCAAAAGGCGGTAAGGTCATCTGTTTCCTAGTTCATGGTATCCACCGAGGAGGTGAACGTCAGCTAGAGGCATTACTATTTGGTCGAATTTCGATCATACCGGTCATACCGGTACGTTCGTTACTAACTCCGATCCAAGTTATGAAAGCCACAGCCTAACTGACTCCAACAACATAATCCTCCCTCCCCCTTTTCCCAGTCCCATGAACACACGCTTGTCAAGTGAGTCTTCAACACACTCCGAAGCGTTGCAAGGCATGCCTGTGATAAGATCAAACCTGTAACGCGTGTGCTGGGCCGGAAGAAATGCCTGTTTGTGCGAGTGTTGTGCAGCGTCGAATGGTATATCCAGTGTGTAAACAGCAGCAGGCTAGACAAACTTGCTGCTCAAAGGGGAAATGACAAATCCAACCGGATGTGGTAGGGCAATCACAGACACGCGGGTGAACGAGCATTTCTGTCCATTCACGCTCGTGCCTGTGTGCGTGTGTGCGCACGGACGCATACGCNNNGTTGTTTATCAAACCGCCTCCGGAATCATCGTGTTTGAGCCATGCACAATAGAGCACACGAGCGCACGCCTACGAGTTCCACATGTACCTTATTAATCGGACAACGGAATCCGTTTGCAGTTTCACATTGACCGAGCCGGAGCGAGAAAGCGAACGACGAAACTATGTCAAAAGACGATGCAGAGTCCCAAATTCAACAGAGTGTGTTTCGCACGATTAGCGACCGATTCCAAGGTGTGCGAGATCGATTCTACGCATGGCGTCATTTATCCTGGGTAATTCTCTTTGTTTCTGCTCTGAATGTGATCTGTATCGGAGGCAAACGCCGTGCCTTCGGAATCTTTGTGGCCGCACTACACACCGCCTACAACGAGACCAGTATGAGTGAACTGAATTGGATCGGGGACAGCTATGCTTCACTGGGGTTCTTTCTCATGCCTTTCGCCACCACCATCATTGTGCAATCCAATAGACCCTATCGGTTCACCATGTTTCTGGCTGGTGTGACGATTTTTGTCAGTTGTATGACTTCAGCCACAGTGCCAGATCCGGGATATTTGTTCCTTACGCATACCCTTCTACACGGAATCGGTTCTACTTTGGTGTTATGCGGTACCAGTTTAGTCACTGGAGATTATTTTGATAAAACACATCGATTTCACGTGCTTGCGACAGCATTTGTTTCCGGGGGGCCATACGGTGTGCTAGTTTTTGGCCCATTGTTTTCGCATTGGATCCAGCATTACAGTTGGCAACAAGCTTTTATTTATAGCGGTATCTTATTTCTTTTTGTCACGTGGCTTGGTGCGATTACATTTTTACCCAGACATATGGTGGACTACCAGCAGGCGGTCACCGAAAATCAGAATAAGACAGGGGAACAGAATTCGCAAGCCCCATTACTGTTACGTAATGCACCCAGAGCTAGTGATGGTCGCGGGTGGGCCTTCTGTTCAATGGCACATTTACGTGCCAATCCGCAAGTTTTCCTCTGGGGATTTGAACGATTTTTGCACAATATTGTGATATACGGATTGCTTATGAATCTGACCGCTTACGTCAGTCAGGCTTTGGATAACGAACTCATCCGCGGAGCCAAAGTGAATTTGTATTTTGGTATAGGTGAGTCCTTGATATTTACCATCGGCGCATTGATCGGTGATCGTATCCGAGGCTATTTACCATTGACGTATCTAATTGGTGCGGCGTTTGCAGCACTGTTTCTTCTGATCGTGCAAAAAAGTTACACCGACATAAATGTGGTCTACGTTCTGGCCGGTTTCACCGGCGGTGCTGTCGGTGTAGGTAACACTTTTCTGTATGCGACTGCAGAGGAAGTAATGCTTGTGCACGGTTCCATCGCTTTTCCCATGACCAAAATGATTGCTGGTATCGGTATGCTGGTCGCACCTGCTCTATCTGGTTCGATTATCGACGGATACGGGTATCGGGGATTTTTTATCAGCATGGCTGTTCTGGTCTGTCTCCGTGTGGCTTTGCTCACTCTGATCTGCATCATTTTGCACAGGAAAAAACAGAAATTTATGCTAGAAGAAATGCAACGTAAAATGGAAGACCCAAATCTGGTGCATTGCTGTGAACTTACTTCGTCCGAGTGTGGACTGAAAAAAATTCAATCCCGAAATGCTTCCCCCAACCGACTTGTTGACTCTCAAACAAATGACGCCGCAAACGCGCCCACAACAGATGCGCTTTCCAATACAGAGAAACGACTCGAAATGTCTGCCGCTTGGTACAAAGAATCCCAGCAAGCTGTCCCGTGACCTCCTTCTTGCTTCGCCAGGCCCAGGATTACACGAATTCACTGCATTTCATCGTGACTTACAGAAAGTGTAGGAACACATATGTGTGAGTTGAACCGTGATCCGGTTGTTGTGATCTAATGAAAATCCTGTAACTGTGGTTCCGTAAATACACATACTAATATGTAGCAACTATTGACTACTCACTACGTACGTTTTGATTTCACTAACAGATCATTCCCCCCTCTTCCGATTCAACCGCTCCACATAGTGTTCTTCTATCGGTTTTCCCGCATGCATTTGTAGCCGTTTCTCCCGTGTGTGAGGTAGCTAATCCAAATGATTACGTAGTAATCCTATTGGTCAGCTATATTTAAATATGTGATAATTCAAATATAATGCTAAATGTATTTAAACATCGACAGACTATATGCGACTTCATTTTACTGTTCAATCAAGAAGTTGGGGCCGGTAGAATGCTTGTGATACAGAGGAATATCTGCGTTATCTACCTACAGTTCCCAATGATCAACTAATAAAAGAATCCGCGTTTAACGAGGATAGATTTGTGCATGCATTATTGTTATTGATGAAGATCGGTTCTCATTGATTAGTGTTTGTACGACTAGACAATGCTCTATGTCCGAGTCGACAGCAAGTGCGCCAAAATATTGTTGTTGTATTTGTTTAGGTAACGGAGTGGAGGGCAACGGTAGAAAAACAAACATCTTCAGGATAACAGTAAAACGATATCTTAGCATTCCAATGCAAGAGATAATACGCTGTTGAATAGAACACAGTCTTGTGTGGGAAGATATATCAAAGTGAATGGGATGAGTTCTATCCAAGAATATTATATGGGTAGACTCTGTTTATGACTAAATATGTCCAACAATAGGTGTACAGGCCAATTGCTAAAACGGAATTTCGGGGACCACGGCTGCTGATCACGTGATACCGCAAAACTGTAAAATCTTGTTTCAGAATTTCGGAGAAATATAGCGGGAGAACAATGAAGGATAAGTGGAAAGATTCACTAATGAGTGACTTTGGCGTACGGAACTGTTTGGTTTAACACTATGAAATAATAGCCATCGTATTTTCCGACACATGTCTGGGTTTGTGAAATCGATCAAATGTTAGTGGTTTCCAGAAACAAGTGATTTATCATTCGTGGTAATAATTACTGCCCTCGGGATTTGATGATTGTGCGAGTGTGAAGATAGGAAAGGAAAACTTGAACTAGTTACCCCGAGAAAAAACTGCTTTATAAGCACTTTTCATGGTGTGATGCCCACGTCGAATGATTTTTTCATTGTGACTGTTTTGTGAACTACAGAGCTTCCAAATTAATTGTCGGCTTTCACATGAATCCCTTATCCAAAATCCCCACACTATCTATACCCTTTTATATTTATTTATATTTATTTAAATGTGTTGCTTCACTGGAACAGAACATGCCGTCTTTTATTCAGACCGAAAGAGGACAAACTGCATAAACCGATGACATCTCGTGGAATCGTCATAATGACTGACGTGCGGGTAAGCTGGCCCATGTATATTTCATTGTGGTGGGCAAATTCCAACAGACGTGTACGGAAAAATAACTCCACACAATAAGTGATTTATCAAGTGAAAGATGATTGATATCCGATTTGCTAAGATGCAGGCAAATTAAGGGATTTCGATAAATGACAGAACGTGCTGGGACAAACCGAATTTGGAGCGAGTACGCGAACGAGAAGCATTTTGATAGCATGGCTAGTACATGGCTGGTGAATAAATCACATGCACCAAAATGATAGTATCATCAGTAGCAAATTCCGGCTGGTTAGTAAAAATAATCTGATAATGTGTACCGACTTTAAGGCTCAAAGAAAAATCTACACGTTTGTCCGAATTATGCCTCAAAGATCGGGGATTAGACTAAATAAAAATATGATTCGGACCGTATTGCATCTGGTGGAATCGGTCCGAACTAGAGGCGGGATATACAACAACTACTTCATTAGCACACTTGCTAAGGAAAGATGGGGAGGTTATTTATGAACAGAGAAAATAGAATGAGGCCAAAAGAGCACTTTGAAAATTTCCGAATCTTGACCGTTATAAAAGATTAGTTGCATCCTTTATGAGCAGTTAATTGCACGGACTTCAGCACATAAATACTCAGGGCGAAATTAGAATAACCTTGAATGAGAGTGCCAAGTTTAAACGACCCAAAAGCACTGGCGTAACCAATAACAATCCATCGAACACTGTCAAATCCTTTAGTTATTAAGGAAGCCACAGATTAAAGACGTGGGCAACTGATTTAATAGTAAATTAAGATTTGTGAGCAAATGAAAGAGGGTCACGAGCATCAATCAAGGGAAGCATCCGATAAGAGTATTATTTTGAAAACTTTCAATAGTGTTGATATACGTACGATCGATTGGGACAAGATTTCGGGGATGGACGGTAAGCGGTTAGATCTTCAACAATTGGTGCCACGTCTAGGGAAATACACAAATGGGAAACTCAGCAACAAGCTAGGGAAACTGTTTGGCACACACTTTCGGAGGATCATGAAAACGGGTCACGCAGATTATCAGATTTGAGGAGTCCAATAGCAGCAGCAATGCAACAGAGCTGCTCTCTTGAGCTGAGATGAATGGAGACAGTGAATCAGATAAATAACCAGTACCAAATTACCAATTAAACTCTGCGATATCTGAGCATCAGTTCTTTTTTATAACGACGATACCGTTTGAGTAAAGAAAATACGATTCTGCGGGCAAACGTAGAAATTCTGAACCGGACGACATAGGTGACAAATAAGATGATCAAAACGATGTTCAAAATTGAAAGACTTGTCTTTACGAGTAAAAACCAAAATAACTATGGAAAAAATGCCAAGAGTGCTGGTGTCAAAATTCACCATCACTTTTTGAATGTAAAAATAGCTCATTGGTCTGAGGTGCTCATACGTCCCTGGGTTTTAATGAAGAGGTGTCAAGCTTGTTTACAAGGATGCCCTCCAGCTATATATCGCGCACGACGGGGATTACAAGATTTAGCATGCCTCATGTTAGAAACAAAAAGATGTAATGCGTGAAATCACCAGTAGCGACCCACAAAAATTGTTTTCATCTTGTCGCAAGAAATAAACGACATATAAGATAATATTAGAGTTCCGCGTGTCAGAAGCAGTAGACATGCCAGCCGGTGCGGTATGAAGAAACCGACCGAGGAAACGGGATTGACAATGAAGTAAAAGTCAATCAATCTTGGCCGTAAATAGCTGAAAAAGAATGGAGAAGCGGTTCTTATCCCATTTCCCGCTGATCATGCCATCACTTCTGTTTGACAATTTCATATCTGGATGGCACCGGAAAATATCAAGTACATCAAGTTGAACGACGAAGTTCGAATGCCAGGATGTTTTGCCAACGTTCCTGGAATAGAACCACTCCCTTATTCTTGCATTCTTGACATTATCTAGTTTACCCATGAGCAAGCAAATGTTACTTAAAATAATAGATAGACATTTTACTAATAAAATGCTGTCTGAGTGCGACAAACCAGCCAGCGCGATGCTCCTTTGGTGTTCCTGACTAGTGTTACTCAAGTGCTTGTAGAAATCCTTCACAGGAAAGAATACGTATATCACTGGCTTGAGATCAAGCTTGGTGTCAATGCAGCAACAAGTATAACAGAACATGGGCTTTTTGGGATACACATCGGAGTAAAAGGAGGTTAGACAGTTAAGTTCAATGACGAGGATAACATATTTCAATCGTCTTTGACAAACATGATACCTTATTTTAAGGTAATCGGGATTTTTAATCTATGGAATGTCTTTCGGCAACCGAATGTAGAATAAACTATTCACTCATCTCCAAGGTTATAAATTCTGAAGTACTCTTTGGGGCCCGTCCGGATTCTCGCTGAAAAAGAATCAAATTTCACCATGATACAAACCGTCGGCCATGAGTACAGAACCTATGAACTGAATCGTACTATCGTATTTCGGGGTTAGATACAGTATGGCATGCTGAGTGCGTGTCANTCAAATGGATGGAGAAAATATGAAAGATTTGTGTGTGCGTGAGACCAGAGTTCAACGCTTCGTTTGACATTTCTGTTTTACGGGGTAGATATTTACCAACCTGAGCAAATCACGTAGTATTTACTCAATTCAAACTATAGACTAGGGTCCCAGTGTTCGATCATTCTTTGTCTGTTAAAACCGTTGTCCAAGTAAATAAAACGGTGCCAGAATGCAAACTTGAGCGGCAGGCATCCGATTGGAGAAATGTAATTATTGAGGGAAGGGCGTAACACGTAGTTAACTTAAATAGAACTCCACCTCAAAGATTGGTCGGACGCATTTTTACTGACTGAAGAATAAAAGTTGAGGGATTCAGTTCAAATAGACACAATCTTTACCAAACAGAGTTCACCTTCGGTCGAATGGTTTATTATGGCCGAAATTCCTTTACAAAGTAACAGTTAACTTTAATTTGCTTGTCGATAAATAAAAAAGAGCACATTAAAGCATGGTGACTGGAATGAGGCGAGCTAATCTAATTTCGAAATAGAAGTCATTACGCTGCAGTTGTACACCTTCTTACTGCAATCGAAGAGATTTTTTAAAGTTGATGAGATGATAACCGTGAGATGAATACGAGGTAGCCAATCACATGGGACAACTCGACACACTAGCAAGAAGAACTGGATGGGGTATGTTTTAATTAACAAGACAAAACCAATGTGACTAACTATTCACATTGTTTGCATAGATCGGGTCTGACGGTAGGAATGGCTAGAGCCTCGGCAACTTCAGTAACTCCGTGTTTGCTGTGCTGTAGATAACCTGAAATGCGTCGGTTTTAGTGACACAGTGTTTTGTTCGAATACGTGGTGTATTACCGAAGATCGGAGTTTTTTGTGTTCATTCGATGAGGTAACATTTTTGCACTGTTTCATCATCTCTTGCTGTAGCCGTATTGTTTCAATACAGACAGGCGAAGAACACACCCGGGGAAGAGAAATTAATCAGTTCACCGGTTCAATGTCACTAATTGTAACTGGATTGGGTATGGGAGGGGCAGGGAGCGCAGAGTGGTGGAAGGGGAGTGGGAGGAGGACAGTGACACACCGACCAGGGTAGCGTGACTCTGGCCACCAATTCGTTCTGTTTGCATAAATCAGGCTTCTAACGTCGAATGGCAGCTGCCTCAGCGAACCGTAGTAGACCGCTACTCTTCTAGCCCAACAAATTACTAAAGACATTCCTAGGTTTGTTAAATTCTTTGCTATCCAGTTAAGGTCGGGTTATTGAATTGGACGGAAGCTTGAACCCGTTAGACGACAAATTCTTCGGTACAGGCTCTGTTATCCTGATAGACCATCGTCTCTCAGTTGTTCCGACGTACTTACTACCGCAAGTACATTGAAATAGGTAAACACAAAAGGAGTCGGATTTTTCTAGATTGGGTTCAGTGAGCATTCGTTTCGTATCGTGCCTTATTATGAGGGGGACGTAGCATTAGACGTTTTCTCAATCGCTTCTTTAAACCTGCCCATTTAAACACTAGAAGGGCTCATTATATCGAAATAAGTTAGGTATCTTAAGGTGTGAAATACTGAAAAATATGATCAGCTGCCAGTGTGGTCTTATATTCCTTTCAACTGGGGAAAATATGACTCGAAATTAACGATTCAAAATGTGACTGGTAAGTTTTTCCTTTCGAAGTAATATTTGAAATCTAAGTGTACACTTTTTTATAGTACTATAAATACAGCAGAAAATCAACTTACGGTCGAAACATGTCTCACTTTAACGGCTGAACTTCCATCTCATGAGGATTAACTTGTTCTACCCGAAACGAACAAAACCTATATGTTGACGACAGTATCTGGGAAAGAGGTGCAAGTAAACTTTTGGTGGTGAAGTAATGTTTCGCAAAAGAATGGAACTTATGTAGAGACGATTGTACCCCGATTTGGTGTAAAGACCATGAAAATCCATATAGTTGTATAAAAACGGAGGCATTCAACTTCCTCCAATAATTCTAAAGACCGAAGCATTTCTGAAGACTGAACACCTTATTAGTTCATAAGTAGTCAGCCAACGCAGTCCAACCAAGGAATAAGAATTGATAATCATCAATCACGGATATCTTGAAATCAGAATTGTTCAGTTTGAACAACCATTAACCATGCACTTTCGTCGGTTTTGGTTGCTGTCTTTTGGCCGGATGAAGAATAGGAGAAGAAAGGAAACTTGAAAGTGGAGTCGAAAAGAAAATGGAGAAGTTCAGAATCAGAATTACACAGTTATATGTATATATTTTTTTTCTATAGTTTGTTGTTTCATGTCACTTATTAGATGAGTTCCAATGTTGAAAGAGTCCTGAGCGACAGACAAGCTCACATAGGCCACGTAATCAAGAGCCGGAGACACTGAGCAATATGACTGAGTTTCGTAAACAGTGGGGTTCATGCAGCTTCTCAAGTTCATCCTAACCTTGGTCTCGATGAGTTCTCGCTCTTTACTCTATCACAGATTTACGCATTCCGATATTCCATTTACTGTTATCGGGCCCTGAGACAGCAACCAAAAGTGGAGCCCGGAAACGCATGGTTAATGGTTTAAAAACTGAAACTTCTACGAGAGCAGCGGGCAGCCGAAGCATTTTCCTAAGATCGACTGTAATTGGCTTGTTCATGTCAACTTGTCCGTATCCACTCAACCTTTGTTTTATACAAACTAAACCGAGAACGTTGAAGCGCTTAAATCAACTTTTTTCGCTCATCAGCATCAGGTACCGCTGAATTTTCCATTTGGATCGATTACGGTTGGGGGTGTCTCCATATGCATCACGGGAAATATTCTCTCGGTCAACCATTCAATAACATCAAACATGCTATAACTATATGTAGCACTCATTCCTCAGGATGATTTCTTCTTGCCAATGTTTCCAAAAAGTGATAGTATAAGAAGTTTGCACAACACTAATCACCCTTCCCTGTCAGTTGAAAATAAGCATTCGACCACCTGTTTTCACAAGCCACCGCATTGTGTTTTCAAAACAAATTGAAAGAAGTGTGATTATTATTTTATTTAATTTTTTCCGCAGCAGTGCACAAATACCGTTGAATGATAACACCCAGCCATACACAGGCGCATGCCGTGGAAAATACCTCAACCAATGCCCAACAGGTGCACCACATGTTGACTGGTGATATCCGCCTTGGTGACAATTTTCGCTGATGCCTGCACAATCGCACCGATCTGAAACAAGGATGTTATGAGACTGATGTGAGGTCGGAAAGGGTAGGAGATAAACTAACATCAGTCGAGGAAAATTTTCCATATAGAATTAAAATTTCAACGAAGATCGTGTTTGTGCTGCTATTGTATTTTATGCATGACAACTGTTTATCCAAACGATAAGTTACACTAAGTTCACATTCTCGGAGGAAAAACTAGTGACATAAAAGCGAGCGGATCGTATCATCGATACCACCGAGTGTAAATTATAACACTCTATTACATTTGCTCCGTCTAACGCGAAGTTGAATGCGTAATTTTCACGAAATGGTCCATGGAATACTTTTATTTAGACAAGACAGCGATTGTCCGGCAGAAAAAAGATGGGAAGCATTTAGGAGTAAAAATATTCATGAGCCACAGTGCCGCACTGTTCTTGAGTGCTCCGGCTTCTTCTACTCGGGGTGCCACTGCAACATCCGGGTGTCGTGAAATTGCGTGCTACTTTACGACGCACAACTGCAATGCACAGTTCTGATGAAGTAAACGAACAAGTGATGCGGTCACAGTTGACGAGTTACAAGCAATCGCGTTCACGCAGTAACGCAAACTTATGACCCTCGATAGACCCGTCCGTAAGTTGTACTGCACTAGGCGTGCCAACGAATATCATTCTTCGATGTTGAGAATGAAGTAGGCACAGAGGCTTGCAACCCTCGATTTGAGATGACGCGATGAAAATCCTCACCAAGAGACCCGGTCACGTTAGAGTTCACGATTGAAAACCTCAGTACCAGACTCATTATGAGCCAGATGCAATAAGTGTGCTATGTACGCATTCGTTCAACCGTTCCTACTGATCGTCCAGTTACGTGATGCAGTTGTCTATGACAAGATCTGACCAGTATTTTTCCAGGTATTTTTCCCTCAGCCACTTCGACTAGGTTAGGCCGTCACTAAATAGAACAGTTACTAAAAAGATATTCATTGATTACATCGGGGTACTTATTTGGCGTATCCACGAAGATACCACCAGAACCCTAGGATCAGCACGAAGTTGAAGATAATGGATTGGGGTTCGTTACATGTGCAATCAAAGTGAGTGAATGTGCAAGCGTTACTTTAAATGACGTGGAGCTATTGGTCACACGATGTCTCAAAAGGAAGCCGATCACGACAAAATCTTTTGGTGGATGATTTTACTCGTTTATACTAGGTCATAGTTCCATCACCCTGGTCATCTTTCGATTACTGACAGCCTCAGAAAGCATTGCGAAATCCCGTTAGGTAGTTGAACATGGACACATTAGGAAACGTATGAAAGAAATTGCATACCACGTGTTCTCTGTGATTCATCAATATGGCGAAATCTTCATATATATTTGTGCTTAGCCAGTTCGAGGGCTTCTGATTTTAGCTGAATGTCGATGCCTAACGCACTGGATTCGATATCATCAGTTATCTTGCATGAACTCCATGATGAACAATTAAAATGTCAAAGTCGTTTTGGGCCAAACAAAAGTTTTGTTTCAAACCTGTACAATTATCAATAAAATACAAGTTAATGTTGCAAGAATAAAAATGCATAAACACCAAAATATCAGAGTCAAACGAAGGCGATTGCTAAGGTCTTACCTACTGCTAACGGAGAAAGAGAAACATACAAAACAACTAAGCTGTCTGATTAGTATACCTACCTGGATATCCGGTGTGGGAATCCATGTGCAGAGGAGGATTTGCTCACTGCCCGGTTCGACGGAACCCTGAACAAACACATGGAAGAACAATCAAAGGCGAGATAAATATCCGTTGAAGGAAAAAACAATTTTTTCTCTTATTCGTTTGGGTACAGGTTTACTTATGATTAAAGGGTCGTATATTTGAAGAGGGTGATCATCATAAAAAGAAATGCAGTTTGCTGGGAATATTAGAATCCAGTTTATAAATTACAATTATTATGAGATTACTGGAGCGGGTGGGTAATTTTATATAAATACAAAGCCATTCACATACTACTCATTGCAAAATATATACAGAGAATTCACAACTGTCTGGGAGTGAGCATGGTATCAAAGTGACAAGAAGATTATTAAGAAAAGGAGGATCTGTGTAGAAACGTGGTAAATTAAAACAAGGTAAAGCATAATACAGACAAGAAAAAGAATGAAAATGACAGTGTTTGTCTGTTTCAACGTGCGCATTTCAATTTTTACCTGGGTTTGGGGCGATCAATCAACTCCCAAGACGTGTGACCCATTTGACCGCATCGATTCACCGACCCCGGTGTCTGTGATCTAATATATATTAAACAAGTTTTTTGTCATCAATGTAAGTGATACTAATACACCACACATTTATGAGTCATACGTTCCTTTCTTCATCGTTTACCAGCGCAACCTGACGATTAAGCAAGATGCAGAAAACAAATGCCACGTTTCAAAATAAAAAGAATTGTAATAAACCGAATTTTTTGTGACGATTTGCTTTCCATCGAGACAGTCTAAAACAGTCATCAAAAGACCTGCCCCAAACCAAACAAATATGAACAATCAGCATATCCCTTCCGATGAATTGCTTTTATCCGAATATTGAAGGTTTCGCAACAGAGCTTACTACGAAAATCATGTTACCTCTCAAACTCCATGAAACTTCACTTTGTTATTCAATATATTTTAGTTCAATATGAAACACATAAAAACTGGAGGAAGACAATGTAGCGAGATGTTTACATCTTATTTATTCTTCTCCTAAGTCAGTGATTGAGAAGATTAAATAAAATGTTAGCATCTCGTGATGTGTGTGTTAAGGTCACTTCCTGTGAACATTGTAAGAACCTACCTTTGACGGAGTGATCGAGAAGCCCTGGGCAGCAAGTTCATTCATATTCTCTACACTGTATTCCGCGTTCTGTAAAAAGAGGGGCATGATATACGATTTTAAATATTTTAAATATATTTAGTCCTATTAAATTCATGCTGCAAATCAGTGTGCTCCGATGGTGGTGGTGCTTAAATCCCACGTTTAAACCTCATTGCAATCCAGCAGTGGTGATGCAAAGCTATGCTGTTGTCCGACCGAGTGGTTTGTTTATCTCAATCTTGTTTATTGCAGTTTCTCACTGTAACTTTCAGGACCTTGTTTTGTGATAACCAAAACTAAACAGTTGGTTCTCCTGACCATACTATTTGCCCCATATTCCGTGCATCTCACAAAGATGTATATTTCAAAAATCTTGTAACCCAACAAAACAATACCCCTTAATGGGTATCGCTGAGTTCCATTTATTTAGTCTCAGCTATTCTCTTCTAGCAGGAAAGACATTGGAAGTTTATTGTGTTCCCACACACAAGTAACGCACTTTCGATGAACCTACTCTATAGTTGCTCAATTCTGTGATCTATAATTCATCACCAAGTGCAACAACATAGATCATTATCATGAATTGTTTCGGAACACTGTTCTTTGCAAAAATTGTTCGTCGTTTTCATGCTTTGTACACCGGAACAGTACAACAAACGTGGTGGTCTCATTTTAGTTCGGGTCTAATGAAACAACCCTCCGGTTGATATTTGATTAGCAGAGCTACTAAATTCATTACCTTTTTCGCAGTAGACACCTGACTAGATACACACCCCACACGAAGGAACCGCAGTATGTCCGTCTCCTGTGGATTGGCTACTTCTGGTTCCGGCTGATCAGTTTTTGTCTCTTTCCGGCGGGAGGCACGAATGACCAAATGGAAGGTGGATGTGGGAACACCTGTGGGGCACAGCAAATCAAAGGTGATCGATTGTTTTTTATTCCTCATCGACGTTAAAACTTCGCAGCACTGTGGTTCAATGTTGCATTCATAGAACACACTGAACTAACTGTCCACTCAATATATCATTGACTGTTCTCAACTGATGAGTGTGCATATTCAATGAGAAAGAAGGAGCGAGAACGAGAAGGAAATTTACATAAGGTGAACAGTTTGAGCCTTTCCTACGATTCAATAATTAGAATTTTGTTTTAAAATCTTACTAGTCAAAAGGGAAACAAGCACATTTAAATATTCATCCTGGCTACATGTGAAAAAAAGAAAAGAACCAATAATCAACAAGATATCTGCACAAATGCTGCACATTCCAGTAAGACAAATGAGAGGACCAAAAGGAGGAAGCATCACACTAGACCCCGGGATACAAATGCACCTCAATTAGCGCACTCTATGTTCCAGTACGAGTATTGATCTTGTCTTAGAACTGTCTGACTTAGTAGGTGTGCAGTACAATTACATATATCGACTGACGATCGTAGTGGTTTTATACAGTGTTCATGGTCACAGTGCAAAAAAATAACCACATCTCAGTTAACATACTGCACAGCATTTTGGGGAAAAAACAGAGATTCCTGGATTTCCAGAGAATCTCCTTAATCCAGTGCTCAGCGTTTACCACTTCACAAACTTGAACAGATACGACTTCATGTCACTTCATACACACACAACACATCCCTATTATTCGGTTGATTCTCCTACGACGGCTTTTACTGCTGCCTCCACTAATCTTCTTATTCTGGTCATAGATACAGTGTTGTCCCCGTATGATTCTCCTCGTCGCAGCTCAGTGGCTTGACTTAGATGTGCGCATCCTGCCACCGCCTTCCGAGGAATTCATCTAAAATGACGCTTGAACATGTCGTTTTTCTTCTCCGTCATGTCATCCGGAAGCATATTACCCAAATCGGACACCCGCTAGGATAGGTGCTAAAGCAGCGGTAGACTAACCGAGTGATGCTTTTCCAGAGTTAGCCTCGTCCCAGTCTGTCTGCCTTTTTCATTGTGCACGGAAATGATGCAAGGTCGTCGGAGTAAGTGGTCGACCTCCATAGATTACATTGTTTGTGGTGTATGTTACGCATGTCACCGAATGGGTTACCGCGGCGAGCGATTTTCGCCGAGGAAAGTAGTGGGTGGAATAAGGTCAAGGGTGGCCAAATGGGTATGAAAACCCAAACCAGGAGACTCGGTCACATAGGGCCCGTTAGGCATCCTGGATAAGGACCGCAGGTTGATGGCAATCGGTGCTTAGGAACACTGAGTGATATAGTTAAGCGTCTTAAGCAGTGGCGATTTCTTTGCAACCTTAGTCCACTGAAATTCTTCATGTTCTCTTCGACCCCAATTTTAACTTTCTTATCTTATCGTATCTTATCTTTCTTATCACTGTTCATCCAAACGGGCGCACAAACGTGCAACTGGGCCGAACATGAGCCTTTTTTGACGCCACTAGAATCCTCGCACAAGCACAAAGTCAACTGAGAAACTCAAACACAGAACACTTGGTCTCGCAGGAATTCTTCGATCCAACAAATCAATGAGTCCCCCAAACCAGACACTCTCATTTTCAGCGGAAGACGACCGTATGGGACTTTGTCAAAAGCTTTTCTAAAGTCAACAAAGAGGACGCTCGTAGGAGGCTCAGTTGCCTTGTTCTGTGGCCAGTGTTACCATGCCAATAGCAGGTTCGACAAGTAAGGTCTGCTCCTTCAGAATTCATTGTGCTTTTCGCACAAGAGACCGTTGGCGGTAAGATGCTGATGAATTCGTTTGGTTATCAAACGTTCTTACGCTTTGTCCAGCATCGCCGTAAACCCGACATGTGGGTAGTTATAGGGATCAACGTTTCCTCCCCTTCATACGGCGGGCCTATGATTGCTTTCTTAGACTCCTGAGGCAGTCTGCATTGAAGAGGAGTGTGATAGGGGTTTCAATGCTTCACAATGTTTTGTTGTTGCCAATGGATGGAGGCCCTCAGGTTGGGGAGACTTATAAGTCATGATCGATTGTAGCGCTCGAATATCTCCGTATCGATTATCTTTTTAAGCTTCATATATTTGTAGGTCAGCACTGGTGGTATGGTTTCTTATACCGGTAAGCACGATGGTAGTTTGCAGCCAGTAACTCCGCCTTCCTTTCCTCTGTGTCAAATAAAGTGCCGTTATCCTAGGGTAGTTAAATGGTAGTTGTGATTCTTGTTCTCCATTTCAAGTGAACACAGAGCCTTGTTAGTGCTTGTACCGAGCCGGTCACTAGGGCGTCGTCAATGCCCCGACGGTTGATTCTTTTGAGCGCCATACACTGAATTCGGATTTTCCTATAACCCTCGTGACTTCTCCCTGTGGAACGATTTCAATTCCAATCCCGGTTTTTCATTCTGACAGGTTATTTGAAATTGGAATCAAACCAAGGTGTTCCTCTAGCGTGTGTATGTTGCTGAAATGGTCACGACAGCTTTCGAAAGTGAATGATATCTTCAGGTATAATCGCCCAAGCACGATCAGTATCATGTGTCCTGAGGGTACCACGAACTTTTTGACGCTGCTACTCTAGCCCCATTCGAAATGTGTTCGGGCCACTGTGTGACTTTGGTACAAACTCACCGCCTCTTCTCGAACAGATGTTCAGCATGTCATGAACCGCCCTACGCATGTAGGGAATAAGTCGATTGTTTGCCTCGGAGAGATTAACAAATCGAGCAAAATGGCATGAATTATTTAGACTCTGGTGGGTTGCGTGAGATGTTGGTGCAAGGGAATCTCTTGCAAGCTGCAGATCAACTCGCGTGGAAATTGATGCCCCCCTGCTTTACGCCACTATTAAGCTCAGTCAGTATTTGGGGCGTTGATGTCCCCAATAAAGAGACTGACCGTTGTTGGACCATACGCGAATCGTATTGAGTATTTCTAGAGCATTTTCTCTCGGATACCGGTAGATACATTCAATGGACTCCTAACCCCTACCTGTCAGTTTTCTTCGGCACTATAAAACTTCACCATATTCATCGGGACCTCTATAATAACCCAGCTGGACTATAGGTATACCCACTTACAATTAAAACCCCTCTTCTCCGCCACTTCTTATACAACAGCTATCGACACGCTAGAGTTCATGGTTGTGTGCGTAGAGGGTTTCTCCTGAGGTAACAACCTCCGCGCTTGTAAACCACGTCTCTGTCAGTGTCACGACAGTAGGTGATATGTGCAACGCCAAGGACTCCAGCTTGTCATGTTTCGGTAGTTTCAGTAGCCCTCTAACTTTCGCCAACAAAATATATGTACGCTGGTCGTTGTTGAACAACCTCCTCTATGGAGATTGAAACAGTGTCACGGTCATCGAGCTTATCAAAAACTCCATATAAACTGAGTTGCTTCAAGGAATAGCATTAATCTTGAACCATCAAACAACTTCACACTCTCATTTAGTACATTAAGCAAACCAAACACATCATGAGTCAAAAGCTGTGGAGTTGACGGTTGTTCAAACTGAAAAAGAAAAAAGGATGTGCGCACATCATCATTACTAATGTAGCCTTAACGGAAAGACGTTCAAGCTGTTTGAACGGACTACATCAAAACGTACGATTAACATTAGAGAACGAATCCGACACGTGTACGCTACCCGCAGATAGAATGATTTTATTTCCAGCTCAGTGTACCGCAGATCAACTTGGACTGGGCACTATCTCCATTCTCAGTTTTGCCACCAACTCGTCTATGCACGGACTCATTCAAACTCTTGTTAAGTAAACCGGAGTAGCATGCAAATCTGATACATTTCAACATGAGCTGAAAGATAAAGAAGATGCGCTGAAATCGAATGGTCGTTTTTCAGTGTTCACTAGTACACGATTGGGGAGACCCTAAAACTATAAACGGTAGACTCCAACATGTGAGCTTTTATTGGCTTTATTTATTCTGCAATTCCGGAAGACGTACGCGGTTCTAAGCGTGTCCAGTGATACACACGCACCACACATACAGTTCACGTATGTCAGATGTGCTTATTGCATCAAAATACCGAGAAACTTAACTGACTCTTTCTCTCATAGTCTTGATTTGAATTCCAGTAAAAATGCTTTTGGTTAGCCGGAGAAGAAAATCTAGCATCTGGATGAATCGTCGGTGCCGCCAATAAATTGTGGTCTGTTAATCTTATTGAATCAAAGGATGTCCAAATTGAGACGACCGAAATGTTAATTTTAATAAACCTCAATAATATAATTAGGTTATTAGTGAAACGTATCGTTTCATTTGATCCCTAGGTGATAATTTTTATTATTTCTTCTGAGGGGGGTGTTAAAGTAAGTTGTTATGTTACGTCAAAATTCGACCAGGCACATGAATTCAATACATAAATAGGGATAAAGCTTGAACCCAGCAAATTGCACGATCCCTAGTGTAGGTGTTCGCCATAAATTGTAGTAAACATGGCGTACAGAAGGCAAATCGTTTACCATATAGCTTTGTTTGAGCAAATAAGATTTTTCCCTTTCTGTTTGGGATTTGGTCTTATTTTCACTTGATTTTCTTTATCTATCTGGTGAAAACCGGGTCCGAACTGCGATTGGGCAACCGACGAAAGTTTGATGAGCATAGGCCATCCCATTGAGTATCACCAGGGTTAACGAAATGGAACAGCGCACAGCGTCAAATCCATCTTCATTTTCGAATAAAATGAAACCAAAAGCGGTTTAAGAAAAGTCACCACAAACAACGAAATCAACGATCGGGATATAAAATCCTATACGCTTGTCGTATGTTCATCAGAACATGCTGCATAAGACAAACTTAGTTCATGTCAACTTGATGAGTGAAAGACATCGAAATGCTTGCATACAATGATGCACGTGTACATGTATGCACACACTCGCGCGCGCATGCACACACATGTCACAGACACACTCACTTGAGCTGTCATGTGCACCATCTAGTTGCGAGCCCAGATAGCTGTTTCTAATCTTATCAGACCGCGTCAGTTCACTTCCATGAACATACACCGAATGGGACTTCCCCATGCCACGCATGACGATCACGTGACAATTTGTTGGCTGTGGAGAGGGAGAGAGATATTGGAGGCAGAAATGTGTGTGGAGTAAGAAATTTAACTAGTAGCTGTGACATGCACATTTAGTTTCGCGTGTTAATCGTCAATGGTCATCATGTCATTTGTTTCATGCCTTTCTAGCAGATGTACACAGGTCTCTTACGCAAATAACTATAATAAGTGTATTCTGGATTGTTATATTCAGATCACCTCTTTCATTTTTCCATGGACCATTCTGTATATTTCTTCTCTTTACAGCACTTCCCATGTATCCTAATTTACCATCACTCCCAACCGATTGTCAGCGTGTGCTGTGCTCACCTCAGACCTGGGTAGGATGATTTCTGGGAGGTACTAAAAATCGACTATTTTTCAATTCTTCTAGGTCTGTTTGCCGTTAGCTTATGCTATCAATTTGCATTTCGGCTGGTAGTCAATTTGCCCCCTCCCCCCAAATTGTCGAACATGGGTCGGATGCGTCCGGGACGACTTTTACCAGTTGAGCGTAAAGTGGCTTTTCACTTCATCTCAGCTCTTCACTAGTTACATTACCAAAATATTTCCCACTCTGTAATATTGCAGACACTAGAGTTGAGCTCCTTCTTTTTGTTTAACACTTTTGAACCATGTGCAGCGTAAAACGCTCTGCCTCGCATTTATTGTCCAGCCACTTGACTCTTGCTCTGTAATAGCTTCCATACCTCTTCCGTCTCCTTTTTACTACGGACCTTGTCCCTTCACATATATATTTATATTTTATACATATATATATATATATATATCATGGAACCTGATTCTTTACCTAGCCGAAAAGGTAATCAGAGCCGCAGAGAGAACACTTTCTAAGAGGAGTTCCGGTTTTCGAGGTCAATCTTCTTACATAATGGGTATCCGGAAAGTTTAGGCAACAAAAAAGTTCAGTGCACAGAGAACAGCCTATTAAACACCGAAGTCAAGAGAATGAGTGGTTACAATTTATCGCCTTTAAAGGGGGATACAACAGATGAGATCATACAAAGGAGATTATGCAGCGCAAACAGATAAAATGTCCTGTGCATCAAAGCATCTGGCGTTGTTTACCTTTCAATCAATTGTGCGTTTGCGAGTGAAGGACCAAGTTCCTGACTCTGAAGTCTGATTATGAGTATACGCATTTATTTGTTCCTGGGCAACAAAAGATAAATATACCACGACCTACGAACAGGCATGGTACCAACATAAAACACAATGATAAAATGGTGGGTTTGGGATACAAAACAGGGTAAAATGGGTGTTAAACAGCTATATTCGATACTAAGAATGACACGGATTGATGAACATTACCTTGTGTGGTGGAACACCGGAACGATTAAGTCAATGCAGTGATTTCACACTTAGCTTAAACAAATCACACTACTAATTTGAACGAGGCTTCACACCTTCTGTATAAGGTTCGTGTTCAAATAACAATGCAGTTTTGTTGTCGGATGCTGTCCACAAAAGAAGCAGTGAGAATTCATATGCACAACTCCCTCTGTGTAATACCGAACAATATGTGTTGCCTAACCCCACACACTCCACATATCCGGGGAAATATCGATGATTGGGTGAGTGAGCAAACAACTGCGTGATCGTGTATAGAGAAAGTGATGCGTACATTAAAACGTTGAGACGCACTGTACAGCTCTTTCAACGTGATTGGCGGTCATCCGGACGTGGGAATTCATCGACGCAACTGGAGATCGAACCCAGGACCTATGTCCGAAAATGCCTACATGAATATTCCCTTTCAACGGATTCTCTGTATGCATGCGGTTTGCGTAACATGACATGATGCGTTGAGTCCCACTCGGGGCCGTGTGAACCTACACTAACTATCTCGTCCACCCTCCCCAATTTAATTCAAGTTCCCTGAGCAAATATTTTATAAACCGCTGTGCAATGTAAAACACCCTTGAAGAAAGAACTCGAATACTTGAAAACAGCTGTACAAATGAGCATCTACAATGACTGAAATGAACTTACCTGCCGGTTCAAGGTCAATACAAAAGCTTCGTGATAAAGGTCACTTGAGTGATCCGGAGCAAATATGACACTGATTGTCTTTACACCGCCTGCATAAATAATGACAATAATGCAATAGGAGATAAAGTTATTTCATTCATGTATTGTAGTAGTTTCCACACTGATATGTACTATTATCAAAAAGATAAACCTAAATAAAATATGAAAAGAGAAGCCAATAAAGCAATATTGCATGAATTACATCCTGGATGGTTCCGCTGCATGACAATTAATGCTTACTGCAGAGAAATACATTGTTTATGTAGGCTTTGGGAATGGATTACAAAAAAACAAATCGGAATGAGAAAAGGATCACCGTAGCAAAGACAAGATGATAAAAATTCCTTATGTTGACACCAGATTTTTTCCATCGACTGATTACAATCGTCTCGGTGATCTGGCATAATGATTAGTATAAATCACTCGATGTGTTTTTCTCGTTCAACGAGATGTTGCGTCATCACCGAATGCCTGGTAATGGAAGAGTTTGATATTTTAGAAGCACTGTTTTTGCCTGTTACGCATTGTGTGAACCTTCACATGACAACTTTGCGTTAATCAAATGATCCCCGTGTTATGCGATCCACTGATACTTTTTGAACCATGCTATAGCACCACCTGCTGTAATTAATCCTTCATGACTATCACGACGAGACTGCAGCTTTAAGTGGTGTGATGTTGTGTGCACCTTTCTGAACCCAACGATCTACGCAGGCTGGCTTTTGTCAAGCCGAAGATCTAATCCTACCTGGAAGGTCGAAGGATAGAGTTCAGATGAAGTCCAGTCTCCCATTCCTCAAGGGTTCGGATTTAGACTGGAATTTGCGCTTCAGTCTGTAAACATATGGTGGAAGAGTAATCGATCCAAGTAAATGGGCCTCCAGTTCACTTTATCCGCTGCCTTGCGGTTAAGTTCTTGTCACCAGTGAAAGCTCCTGTTTTGAACACTAATCGTTTTCCTGCTTAGTGGTTTGGTACCTTAGCACTACCCGTCTATCAAACCGTAATGCATGCACAAATTATAAAGGATTCCATACTGCATCGATCGTCGCGCGGTGATCAGGATCACGCTGCCCATTGCACTGAGCCGGATTGGGTAGTGATAACAGGGCCATTGTTCAGATATCCTAATTTTTGTTTAACGTTTGTCTTCTGTATCCAGTTCTCTCACTTTGGCCCTTCTTCCGACTTGTAACAGTCCCTCAAGCAACTTGGATGTCGCTGGCCTAAGGTTGTTGGAAACATAATTGGATTGTAAGTTCTAAAGCCTCGTCAGTCACTGAATCTGGGGCCTTCAACGTGAGGACTCTCATACAACTAGGTCACCAAGCTTCTCTGGCGCGTACAAGGGAATCGTCAAGGATCGATATTTACTACACATTGGACACGAATTCAGGATCCTACTACCGGATGTCACTTCAGCACGATATATATGTCCTCTGGTCACGCACACCAGGCGACGACGAAGCCCGTTCAGTGCGGGACAGGTATTGTACTCAGTAACACAACCGAGTCCTCTCTTGTCGATTGGACTCCCGCCAACAGTCCTCTATGTGGGATGCGTCTCCAGGATTCAATCAGCGTTCGCAAACGGAAGCAACACCACAAGATGTTTTTTCATCACATCTGCATATTCATCGACCAATTACAGTTCTAGCATACAAAAGGACAATTTCTAAGATAACCTCACCGAACTCGTTTAATGGAGTCGAAGCTCCAACATAACAGTACTGGCCGATTGTGATGCACTGAAATATTTTCTTTGTGATCAAATTGAGTTTCATTATGTTTATCAACTATATTAATACTTTTGGTATGAACAATAATTTATCCCTTGTCTACTTCGATCGACGTAGTTTCTATGCTGCATGATTATTAATTAAGCCTGACCTTGGTTGTCAGGATAAAGGTCAATGTGCTACTTGTACATTGTACATTGGAGGTGAAAGTGGGATACGTAACGGAACACGAAATAAAAAAACGACTTCATAACAAAGTGGATTCGATGCCGAAGAGACTCGGCAAAGTCCTAAAGAACAAAGGCAGACCAATCGACTATTAGTGTACACAAATTTTACATCTAAATTATTATCAATGTTAATTCGTTGTAAATAAAAATTTCTTTAGTCTCCTTAGTTAGGTTATCACTCACCATGGTCTAGGTCAGCCGCTACTGACGAAAAAGGAGTATTCGCTACATTCTGAACCAGTGCATCTGCTAGAGTTTAAACAAATCATGAAAATCACCACTATAAAGACTCATCGAAGCTTGCTCATTATTATTTGGAAAAAACTTTACTTCATTATAAATGCTGTTGCCTATACCAACCCACAAGAGTTTCACAGCGACCCGTTGCTTCAGTTTCGATTAGAGCTGTAGTTGAACATGTAGGTAACTATAACGCGTATTTTGGAAAACTAAGCGCATCATCAATAGTTGCTGTGCTCTGCCCTGCAAGCGGACAGATAACGGCGATCGACTTTTTTCAGTTCCGCATAGATCACCATTTGTTCTTATCCAATACCAACTATCGACACAGCTCTCAACGGACAGCAATGTGGTGCCCCAGCTCAACTTGAACGCCAATTCAAATCAACCACATAGCAATAAACTATCGTTGATGTGGATCAAAGCAAAATTTCAGGACATATTGGACCACCTACTTTGAGTCTGATCACGTGAAAGTTTTGATGTTGTTCATTATTCGATAAATTTGATCCCAATCGTGTTAGCATTCGTCATTTTTTGACGTCTCCTTTAGGAGAGACCAACATTTGTGAAAGTCTAACTGGATTCTGGTCTGAACACTGATGTATTGACAAAGTTTTACGTTGCGTCAGGTTTCTGAACTGCGTCACACCCGCCTACGAATTACGATTCCAATTTTCCTTGGCTTGAAGGGAACCTTCGAATCAGTTGACCGCGAAGCTCTAATTTGTTCCCTTATTTGAATGGGAATGCCCCTAAAATACGTTAAGTTGCTGAGGTCACTGTACTCACCTATCTCTGGTTGAATGAGGGTTTACAACGAACTAAGTAGACTGTTCTTCACCAGCAGCGGCGTTCGTAAAGAGTTCCTTCTTTCGCAGTTTCTGTTCAATTTCGTCGTAGACGAAATTATGGAGAACGCACTTAATGGTCACCAAAACGTAGGTAATGAATGGACAACTGGAAGAAAGTTGTGCGATTTAGAATAGGCCGACGACATCGTCTGTCTGTTCGAACGTATGGAGGACGCGCGAAGCGCACCTGTGTTGTACAACCGTAAATATGTTGACGTAGCAAAGTACATTCGGCAACTCCAGCAACACGCCTCGAGCGATCAGAAGAATCCGGTGGTCGAACACGTAGGCTCCGTGGGGTTACATTGGTTACAAAGCAACGAAGGTTGAAAATACGATGTTATTCGATTTAATCGATTAAACGACTTGAAAAAGGCCTTCGAAGAGGGTGAAAGCGTTGTCACCAACGCCTTTGTGTTTTGGTTTTCATTCGCCGTGGCTAAGACAAGTTAATTTCCTCAATAATCAAGAGCATGACGCCCATGTTTTTCAGTGAGATCCATTCTATCCATGGATCTCGTGTTATTAACATTATCAATCATCGAATTTATCTAATCAAACTCGAGGCGAGTTGGATTAACCATCGTATTTTCATTATCGTTGCTTGGTAACCAATGTAACCCCACGGAGCCTACGT